GGCCAGTGTTTCGAGAACTATGTTGAACAGAAGTGGAGAGAGAGGGCATCCCTGTCTTGTTCCAGATTTTAGAGGGAATGCCTTCAGTTTTTCTCCATTCAGAATGATGCTAGCCTGAGGCTTAGCATAGATTGCTTTTACAATATTGAGGTATGTTCCTGTTATCCCTAGTTTTTCTAGAGTTTTGAACATAAAGGGATGCTGTACTTTGTTGAATGCTTTTTCCGCATCTATCGAGATGATCATATGGTTCTTATTTTTAAGTCTATTGATGTGGTGAATAACATTTATTGATTTCCGTATATTGAACCATCCTTGCATCCCAGGGATGAATCCTACTTGATCATGGTGCACAATTTTTTTGATATGTTTTTGTATCCGATTCGCCAGAATTTTATTGAGGATTTTTGCATCTAGGTTCATTAGAAATTGAAAGTCATTATCAAACAAACACTACAATAATAATTGTTACAAACAAGATCCATTGATAATTACTAAAATTAATGAGCAGAAATTTGAGGACAAATAGGATTTGCTTAGTTTCAAAAGTGTCTCCAAGATATTAAAGATATTTATAGTCAAAAAACCTGGCAGAGGCCAGACATGATGGTGCACACCTGTAATCTCAACAGTTTGGTAGGCTGAGGCAGGAGGATCACAAGTCCAGGGACAGCCTGGACAACTTAGCAATACCCTATCTTAAATGAAAAATAAAAAAGGGAAGGGCTGGGGATGTAGCTCAGTGGTAGAGTCCCTCCAGGTTCAACCCAAATCACAAAAGAAAGAAACCTGGCAGAACTTTAACTCCAACCAAGTGAACAAGGATAACCTCACCAGTAACAAAACATAACAACATTAAGAACTCTGTATAGTAAGATCCTCAAAAAAGGATCCAACCCTTTTTTTGTTGTGTTCCTGCCCAGAAAAGTTTCAGATCATCAGAAAACATCATATTTGAGAGACATTAAGAAAACCCAAATTGAGAGACATTCAGTAAAATAATTGATCAGTACCCTTCAAAAATATCAAGGCTATAGAGCTGGGGTTGTGGCTCAGTGGTAGAGCCCTCACCTAGCATGTGTGAGGCCCTAGCTTCGATCCTCAACACCACATAAAAATAAACAAATAAAGGTATTGTGTCCAACTACAACTAAAAAATATTTATAAAAATATATTAAGGATGTAAAAAGAGTGAGTGAGGATCTCTTACAGATAAAGAGGAGTCTAAGGAGAAATAACTAAATACCATTAGGGTCCTGGATAGAATCCTGAAAAGAAAAGGTCATCATGAAAAAACTAAAATTTGGATAACATCTTTAGATAATATTATTGCACAACTATTTATCTAGTGGTTTTGATAATTATACTATAGTTATATAAGACACTAATAATAAAGGAAGCTGGGTGAGGAAATTCTGTGTACTACTTTTGCAACATTTCTGAAAGTCTAAAATTAGTAGAAAGTACAAAGTTAAAAAATAAATAAAAGTCCTATTGCCAAAAGTATTCCAAACTGGAAAATTACTGAGTCTGAAGCAGAACTAAGCCTAGGAGCTATTCTTAGCTTCTAGTTCCAGAGTGAAGATCAGAATCAGAACTCAGGGACAAGAGAAAGTATTCACCGTGAGTCTCCAGGTCCCTAGAAATTTTAAAAAGCAGATTAACTTAATTGTTGAAAATTGTGCTGATTAGGAAATCAGTGTGGCAGTGGTGAGGGAGAAGAACTACCAATAGAGTGATGAAAAGGAGACATGGCATAAGAGCATGAAAGCAGGCCTGAGGGAAGGACAGTTGTACCTCTAGAAGTTAAATTACAAATGCTAGTTGTGTAAACAAGGAGGGGTACCACTGAGCCACATCCCCAGCCAGATTTTTGTACTTTTTTAGAGACAAAACAAAAGAGCTGGGATGTAGCTCAGTGGTACAGCCACAGTGTCTCACTGAGTTGCTTAGCACCCCTCACTTTTGCTGAGGCTGGCTTTGAACTCTCGATCCTCCTGCCTCAGCCTCCCAAGCTGCTGGGATTACAGGTATGTGCCATGGCACCCAGCTAAAACTAACCTTTTTTAATGAAAGATTAGTTTAATCCTGTCACAGTTATTCATTTGAAGTGGAAGATGGTCTATGGAGTTTGAAGGCTGACAACTTTTAACACAGCCCAGCAGATTTGCTACCACTCAATCCCTTTGATGATATTTATGATAAATTTTACATTTTCTCGGAGACGACACTTAAAAAAAAGATTTTGTATACAAGGCTGTGACCTCCAATCTTTTGTCTAAAACCCTACCAGCATTCCTCTTTGTTTCTTCTTCCAAAGGAAAAACATAAAATTTATTTAATATCTTCTTCCAAAGAATTAATGCAACTCTAGTCAAGTCAGATATATTTGGTATAAAGTTGTATTAATAAAAATTTAGTGATTTAAAATAAGGAAGGAAACTTAAGATGGAAAAATATTAATATATAAGAAAGATAATAGCTAAAAATAAATTTTAGACAAGTCATTTTGAAAATAAGAATTTACCAAGGAGAAAGATTTTTACCTGCTGATTTATTGGGGATAGACTACTTCTAAACCATTTCCAAGAAATTGTAATAATAAAGACTGTATGTGGGTAGACATGATAACTGTCTTAAAGCTATAGAGGATACTTAATAAATCTGTGATTAAGCACTGGTACAGTAAGAGGCTTTTAAAAATCTGCATTTCTAGACTTGTTAGGTTTTTTCATTTTGTTTTATTTTTGTGTGTGTAGTACTGGGGATTGAAACCACAGTCTCATCAATGATAGGCAAGTGCTGTACCACTGAGCTACATCCCAGCTGTTTTGTTTTGTTTTGTTGTTCGAGACAAGGTCTCACAGCCTCATCAATGCTAGGCAAGTGCTCCACCACTGAGTTACACCCCAGCCCTTTTTGTTGTTGTTGTTTTGTTTGAGACAAGATCTCACCAATTTGCCTAGGCTGGCCTTGAACTTGGAATCTCCTGCCTCAGCCTCCTGAGTAGCAGGGATTACAGGCATAAATCTAGCCAGACTTGGTTTTATACATAGGAGAAGTTGTGGATAATATCATTAGACAATTTTTGGAAGTATGAATGCTTTTGATAGATTGTATGTACATGCACATACTACATAGCTACTTTGAAATGTCTGGTAAATAACCTTTTTTGAGTCACATTGCAAATCTTAGGAAGATGTCAAATGGTTTTTCTACCTGAATTTTACAAAGGAATCAAGACTTTACATTTGGAATGCCAAAGAAATATTTAAAATTAAAATAGAAGTAGGCACCAAAGATACAACTTTAACATTGATCTTTGTTAAAATGAAACTATTCAGCCAAGTATACAATTTTTATCTTTAAAGTGATAACCCCATTACTTTGAGTAAAGGGTAAATCATAGCTTATTTGCTGAGCTGCGCTTACCCCTGACATATGGATTCAGTTGAAGCCATATATGATGACAATTCATATTGATTTTGCTGTTTGTTTTTTCATCAAGTGGAAATTTGTATCTTTGTAGACAATAACCTCTGATATTCACTATTTATTGAGAGGACAGATCAATTGCTAACAAGGTTTTCCTTTGGGTTTCTTTACATTGTCTTTAAAATATGTTGATAAAGTAGTGACTGATCTGTCTGAAGAAAAGAGTAGAAAATTTTTTAAATACAGTCTCTGATTTCCAGTTTCCACACTTAGACTTCATTGCTTCACTCACAAGCAGTTCCTATCTTTGACTTTATATACGCAGCAACATTGCCTGAATTGTTCAATTGTTCATTTTTTTATGTTTAATGAGAAGGATTTCAGGTGCTTAAAATTTTTTTACTTTTCCAGCATGCATTGAGGAGCTAAGAAGACCATACTCATAATCAGGAGCCTTTTCAAAGCACAACTCTATAGTAGATGACTGTTGTCCAAGAGATGATTAAAAAACTGGAGTTCCAGCGGTATATCCATGAATTCCACTGAGACAAGTTTTAATTGCCTGTAAGAACAAATCTAGGAACTAAAAAAAAAAAAAAAAACAGCATGTATGGAACTCTCAGATGGAAGTGACGAGCAAGGAGGAGAGTAGAGATAACTATGCTGACATTACTACTTACTATGAGAGCGCCATGCCAAATTCTTTCCATACATCAAACTGAATTTCCCCTGCCAATGGCATATTTTCTACACAGTCCCATCATTTTTTCTTGGTAGTTAATGATCCATAAAAGTGTTCTAGATTAAAATCACCCTCAGTACTTGCTCTTGAGGCAAAAGGAACAACCAACAGATATAGAGTGAACTTTTTGCACATTTAAAACAAAAAAACAGAGCCTAAAGCTCCAGGTTCCAGCCAGTCAGCCCAGCCTCTAGATGTTAAGACTCATACATTTTTTAAGTTCTTTGAATTTAAGACCACATCTAACAAAAATTTCACCCCTTTTCTGCTCCCTTTTATCAAATTCTGATATTCTTTGTTTCTGTGTTTGGGTTCTCAGAAAATATTTAATGATAATTTTGAAATCTGAATTACTTTATTTTGTGAGACTTAGTTTATAACACAATTGGAATCACAAAAAAATGACATAAGCATATGTATTTGTTGAGACTAACATGATTTTTCTCTATCTTGTTCCTAATGTTTTGTTACAAGATTAGATTTACTGTACCACTCTGCAGAGTAAATAAATGTTAGTGATATTAATGTACATCTTGAATCTCATTCTTGCTTCCTATTTTCCTATTTCTTATGATCCAGAAAGAAAATTTAATTTTTACTTATAAATTTTAATTTGGGGTTGTGATATCCTATGTGTACAAGAGAACTATCATATGAGATTTTTAATCTTACATAAATCAGGCAGTTGAGTTAGCAGCTTTCATTTATACTTGAAAAGGTAAAGAAAATGGAGAGAGAAAAGACAGAGAATGATCATGTAATAACTGTAGCTATTGCTTTTGCCACTGATAAGCCTGTTTGCATTCTCATCTTCCATTTGTAGGTGGTTGCCTATCACTATTGCCAAGCAGATAATGCCTATACCTGCCTGGTACCAGAATTTGTCCACAATGTTGCTGCCCTGCTCTGCCGCTCACCTCAGCTGACAGCTTATCGGGAGCAGCTTCTTCGGGAGCCTCACCTGCAGAGCATGCTGAGCCTTCGATCCTGTGTTCAAGACCCCATGGCCTCCTTTCGGAGAGGAGTCCTGGAGCCCCTGGAGAGTCTCCACAAAGGTATAGATGAGGTCCAAGGAGATGAAAGGAGCCCCAGGTCACCTGGTCACACTATAAAAATGATTGTTTTTATCACATTAACAAAACTAAATGTTCCATAGCTAATGTCCTACAACATATAGTTAAGAAATAGAAGATTTTACTTGAAAAAAAAAAAACAGTTCCTACAAGAAGTGCTACTTCCTTTAAAAAATTTTTATTTTGATTCCCAAACTTAATTCATTTTCCTTATACTAATGATAGTAGAGCTTCCAATCCTGTTTGTGAAGTTAAAATAAATCAGTAAAATTTGTGGCTCCAACTCAAGTGTTGTAGAGTTTCTATGGTTAGAAACTCTCCAGTCTTCATGTAATATTTTTATTACCCCATCAGTTCAGGTAAAGCATTCGTGATTGTACAACCTTGTGTTTATACTAGAAATCACTGAATTATACAGTATGAAAGATATTTAAAAGGTATAAGGATATTCCATGGTCCATAAATTATATCGGGAAAGGTATTTTTTAAATAAAAACAAAATTAAATGGACTCTATCTCCCATTCATTGAAGGTCTTTCCTACCTTTTTCCTCTGCAGCTCTAGTGCCCTCCAGAGCCTGACAGCCATCTCCTTAAAGAGAGTACATGACTTCCCATGTGTCTCTTCCTTATATTTTTTACACTGTGTTCTCAGTGCTAGAAGCCAAAGAAAAGGATTTGAGTAAGCATGAGATCCTGAACGATCCTGTTTATTCCCAAAAGACTTTTATATCTTTCTCAAAGGTTTTGAATACTGTAAGAAAAAGTGTTCATAATTTCTATTCTCCTGGCCATCATCTTTAGTTCAACTCTGATGCTGATTACTTAGACCTCAAATTTCTTTCTTCTTAAATCCAATAACCTTTATTTCTATTACCTCTCTTCTGCCTATTAGCTTAATCACACCCTGGAATTTTTCCACAAATATTTAAAGCATATTTCCTATACATTCACTCAATTTCTAATCCTGTTAATTCTGCCTTCATTGTTTCTCACATTTATTTTTCTCAATTTGTTCCTACTATTATTACCCCCAAGAGCTATTTAGCTACCAATAATATTGTATCATTATTACCCCTTCCTGGTATTCTCTGGCTTAGTACTTCTTTCACATCATAACACACTTATAAAAATTTGTATAGCAGACTGGGATAAAAATTCATGACTACTTATAGCTGAACATAGCAGCCCTCAATCTATAACTATGCCAAGCTATGAATACCCTAAGGACTAAAGCAATTCCTTTTTTTTAGACTGGGTCTTACTGTTTTGCCCAAGCTTGTCTCAATCTCTTGGTCTCAAGTGATCCCCCTGTCTCAGGCTTACAAGTTGCTGGGACTATTACCAGCACATGCCTCCATACCAACTAAGGGATTCATTTCTAAGTATACTTCCCATTCATTCAAGGACTACCTGATGGAGGAGTTCTTCCTCAGTCTCTCTAGTTTTCTAGAATTTATGTACTGCTTTCAGATAAAGCTTCATAAAATATTGCTCTGATCACTTAATTTTCCCAGCTCAAAACCCAATCCTAGCGACCTGGGAGGCTGAGGCAAGAGAATCGCAAATTCAAAACCAGCCTCAGCAACTTAGTAGAGGCCCTAAACAACTTAGCAAGACCCCATCTCAAAATTTTAAAAAAATTACTGGGGATGTATCTCAGTGGTAAAACACCCCTGGGTTCAATCCCCAGTACCCAAAAAAAAAAAAAAAAAACAATGATTCCCTGTTGCCTACTGAATATAACTTCTAGCTCCAGAGTGCTTGATGGTCTGGATCCAGCCTACTTTCCAGCCTTATTTTTTGGTTTTAGCCTTATGAACCTTATGCTTACATGTAAACTAAAATATTTACTATTCCTTAAATACTTCCCTACATTTTCTTTCTCCATATATACACTTAGTGTTTCCTTTGCTTAATATGCCTTCTCATCACATCTCTTGACTTTAAGAATTCTGTCCACCTTTTTATTTAATTATTATTTTTTACGTTCTTTTTTATTAATTTTTTTTATTTTATATGATAGCAGAATGCATAACAATTCTTATTACACATATAGAACACAAATTTTTCATATCTCTGGTTGTATACAAAGTATATTCACACCAATTTATGTCTTCATACATGTACTTTGGATAATGATGTCCATCACATTCCACCATCATTTATAACCCCCTGCCCCCTCCCTTCCCCTCCCACCCCTCTGCCCTATGTAGAGTTTGTCTATTCCTCCCACGCTCCCTCTCCCTACCCCACTATGAGTCAGCCTCCTTATATCAGAGAAAACATCTTGGTTTTTTGGGATTGGCTAACTTCACTTAGCATTATCTTCTCTAACTCCATCCATTTACCTTCAAATGCCATGATTTTATTCTCTTTTATTGCTAAGTAATATTCCATTGTGTATATATGCCACATTTTTTTAATCCATTCTTCTACTGAAGGGCATCTAGATTGGTTTCACAGTTTAGCTATTGTGAATTGTGCTGCTATCACTATTGATGTGGCTGTGTCCCTGTAGTATGCTGTTTTTAAGTCCTTTGGGTAGACAAAGGAGAGGGATAATTGGGTCAAATGGTGGTTCCTTTCCCAGTTTTCCAAGGAATCTCCATACTGCTTTCCATATTAGCTGCACCAATTTGTAGTCCCACCAGCAGTGTATGAGTGTGCCTTTCTCCCTACATCTTCACCAGCACTTACTATTGTTTTTCTTCATAATAGCTGTCATTCTGACTAGAGTGAGATGAAATCTTAGAGTAGTTTTGCTTTGCATTTCTCTAATTGCTAGCAATGATGAACATTTTTTTCATATATTTGTTGATTGATTGTTTTATCATCTTCTGAGAAGTGTTCAGGTCTTCGGCCCTTTTTTTTTTTTTTACTTTTATTTGTTTTAAATAGTTACACATGACAGTACAATGACCTTGACATATCATACATTTGAATCAGATGGGATATAATATCTCATTTTTCTGAGTAAACAGGTTTCAGAATCACATTGGTCATGCATTCACATATATATACACAGTAATGTTTATTTATTTTTTAGTTGTAGTTGCACACGATACCTTTATTTATATGTGGTGCTAAGGATCGAACCCAGGGCCTCGCACATGCTAGGCGAGCACTCTACCACTGAGCCACAACTCCAGCCCCCTTGGCCCATTATTGATTGGGTTAAAATTTTGGTCTTTAGCATTTTGAGTTCTATATATACCCTAGAGATTAGTCTCTGATGTATGAGGGGTAAAAATTTGCTCCCAAGATGTAGGCTCTCTATTCACATGCTACCCCCAACCATCATAGATCAGCATCCACTAATCAGAGAAAACATTCAGGCTTTAGTTTTGGGGGTTGGCTTACTTCACTTAGCATAATATTCTCCAGATCCATCCATTTACCTGCAAATGCCATAATTTTATTCTTTCGTAATGCTGAGTAATATTTCATTGTGTATATATACCAGCTTCTTTATCCATTCATCTACTGATAGGCATCTAGGTTGGTTCCACAGTTTAGCTATTGTGAATTCAACTGATTTAAACATTGGTGTGGCTATGTCACTGTAATATGCTGATTTTAAGTCCTTTGGGTATAGACCGAGAATGGGATAGCTGAGTCAAAAGGTAGTTTCATTCCAAGTTTTCTGAGGAATCTCCACACTGCTTTCCAAAGTGATTGCACCAATAATGTATGACTGTACCTTTTCCCCACATCCTCTCCAACACTCATGCTTGCTTGTATTCTTGATAACTGCCAAAGAATTCTACCTACCTTTCAAAGACCAGCTTAAATGCCACCTTTCCCTTGAGACACCTGTTGATTCATCTTCCTGCCTCCAGTCAGAAATAGTGTCCTTCCAAAAGCCATAGATCTTTTTTAAAAATCACAATTATGATATTCTAACACATTTCTATATGTATAATTAGAATTTAAAATTTTATCACAAAATTACTATAAGCCAGATATTATACTTTGCTTGCACAGTATAAAACTTAATTATTTCTATACTTATCCCTTTGGCTGAATTGTATGCTTTTGAAGTTAAGATTTTTGTGTGTATATGATGTTTGGGATCAAACCCAGGGCCTTACACATGCTAGTGCATGCTCTACCACTGAGCTGCATTCCCAGGTCACAGAACCTTATTTTTATTTCATTTTTATTCATCATAATCATTCTCTGACTTAAACATAAGAAGACATTTTAAGAAATAAATTTTGAGGGGCTGGGGCTGTAGCTCAATGGTAGAGCACTTGCCTAGCATTTGTGAGGCACTGGGTTCGATCCTTAGCACCACATATAAGTAAATAAAATAAAGGTATAAAAATGCAACCAAAAAAATTTAAAAAAAGAAATAAATTTGAACATATAAGTGACCATGGAAACTGCTAATCTGCAAGTATATATTAAGGAAGTATTGTGATACAAGGATCTACACCTACTGGGTATTTCAAAGAGAATATGCAAGCACTTTTACAGAGTCAGCTCCAGATTCTCAACCATATTCCATATGTTTTATAAATTTGATACAAAATATATCTATTGCTTACTTAGGTCTCTATAATCAACTCTAAATATCCCTAGTTTTTGAAACATTAAAAACTATTTGAGGGGCTGGGATTGTGGCTCAGCGGTAGAGCGCTCACCAAGACCCGGGTTCGATCCTCAGCACCACATAAAAAATAAAGGCATTGTGTTGTGTCCATCTACACCAAAAAGTAAATATTTTTAAAAAATTATTTGATTAAATCAAAAGAATTCATGAAGAAAAGTGAAAACAAATTAAGTCATAACAAACAAAATAGTAGACTTAAAATCAATCATAATCATATCAATAATTATATTAAATGTAAATGGACCAAACATATTAAAAGACAGAAACTGTAAAACCATGTAAAAAGCAAGACTTCATATACTCTCTGTTTAACTTATTTAAATATGAAAATACAGATTGAAAGTAAAAGTTATAACCCAGAGTAA